ATGATATTTTCATAACATAATTTCACAAAATTAAACAAAATTTAAAGATATATTCAAAACAACTCACAATTCACATATGTGAAATCAAAACAAATCAGTTTTAAAAGAACTCGAATTTGGTATATCCATTTTGCTTTTTAATTAACAGCCAAAGATTTGTACACAATAAAATACAAAATGTAACTTAGAATGTTTACGTTTATAATTATAAATATTGAGAAATGTAACTTAGAATTTTCACATTTATAATTATAAATATTGAGTTGGATTTCTCTCAAGTTCACATCTCAATTTGAGAGAACTTGAAGGCCCGTGAGATCCATCACGGGTCCTGTTTCGATAATTCAAATAGTTCATTTTGTAGAGTTCTCAATGTAAATCATTTATGAAGAAAATTAAATCAATCCGATAATTATAACTTTTTCATTTTATCTTGTTTAACTCTAAAAAATGAATGATTTTTTTCAAAATATGTCTTAGAATGTTTACATTTATAATTATAAATATTGAGAAATGTAACTTAGAATTTTCACATTTATAATTATAAATATTGAGTTGGATTTCTCTCAAGTTCACATCTCAATTTGAGAGAACTTGAAGGCCCGTGAGATTCATCACGGGTCCTGTTTTGATAATTCAAACAGTTGATTTTGTAGAGTTCTCAATATAAATCATTTATGAAGAAAATTAAATCAATCCGATAATTATAACTTTTTCATTTTATCTTGTTTAACTCTAAAAAATAAATGATTTATTTTCAAAATATGTTGTTTATTTTTTTGGAGACAAATACGATAAAATAAAAAAGTAACAATTATTAAATTTAATTAATTTTTTCATTATTGATATATATTGAGGATCTTACAAATTGCATTTATTTATTCTATCTCAAATAATAACATTTTATATTTTATTAAAAATGAGAGACCCCCACTCAAAAAGCAACCTGAAAGCTAGTGTTGGATAATTGCAAAATTGTCAATGGACTAATTTCCAATGAATAATAATAATGATAATAATAATAATAATAATTAAAAAAAGAACATGACCGTAATAATAACAAGAAAAATGATTCATTCCCCGGCCGCCTTATTCCACTCCAGTCCTAATACTGATGTGAAATTAAAAAAAGTTAAAGATGAAAAAGAGAGAAAATGACGCTACATCACCTAATTGAGGCTGTCAAATTTCACTCCAATAACGTGATTAAAACTCATGTGAAGTAGTTTTACACTCCTCTCTCATCTTTAATCCCCCAATTCCACATATTAGGGTTAGAATTGGAGAAGCTAAATATAGGGGACTGTAATGATAAAAGAAGAAAACAAGAAAAGCATGAATCGCGTGTTGTTCTTCTGCCACCTCCATTCCTGCATAGTCATGCATGCCTCATGAGACACTCCATTCTTTCTATCTTCTTGATTTGTTTTAAATTCCAACAATTAAAGTGTTTAATTTATGCAGGATTTCACCCCTTTTTTATATTATTCTTTTATTTTTTATTTTAAGTTTGGTACATCCAATCCAAGGACTACAAATAGGGAAATCCCTCTGTTCTCTGTCTCGTTTCAAAACTGTCTCAAGACTCTCCTTGGAATTGGCGCTGCTTGGGAAGCTCGTTTTTTTTTTTTTTTTCACTAAAAAATAAATTGGTTACAAAATAACAAAAAAAAAAAAATCAATCCTAACAAAATATCACATCAAATTCCATAATCATTTCATTTTTTATCTTACAAACATCACATCTAACCACAAAAAAATCTAACTGTCTTTCTAAACACAAAAAAAAATTTCTCTAATAATATCCTACAACTAAAAAAACGTACAAATAAAACTCACTTTCCAAACGCCCACACTATATATTCCACAGGTCGAACATTGAGATATAAATTTTTTGATATTACTAAAAGTATCCGAAGTTCGTCCACTAGAATCATATTCATCAATTTGGGCATCATCTCTCACTGCTGAACGTTCAACCAAATAAGTAGATGCTTTATTGATTAATGCGGACACAAGCCCAACACAAGAACAGCTTTGGACCTAAGATACAAGTTCAAGTCAAAATCCTTCAACATTAGACTGGGCATTGTTACTCATCAAGTTACTGGTAAAGGTTTTGAGCATGCCGCCGCCGCTGCCGCCGCCATCCATAATAAAATTTGAACTATAATATTAATGCTAGAGGTACTGGAGAAGAAGATATGGGTAAAAAATGTTATAAAAACATGAATGAAGAGAACTTAAAAAGGTCTGCCCTTTTCATGGATTGCCATTTGGGCAGTTGCATTTTTCTAGGGTGCAACTTGGGCCAATTTAGTTGGGTTGAAAAGATATCCAAACTTCGTCTTAATTGTGCTAAGAGATGTCCAAACAACAATCCGATCTGAATGCTTAGCCAAGCCTGATTTGAAAGTAAAACAAATTAAACCCACACTAGACCTGAAAGAGTAATGCTAAGGATCATGAAAAAAATATCATGAAGATGATCATAAAAAAAATTTCACTCTTAGATTACATATATAATAAAACACCATAGTAATCAAAGAACGAAAAATCTTCATAAAGTATTTCATGATATTTTTTTTCATAATTCCTATATTATTCAACCTAAAAGTGCCCACAAATTTGAATTTTTTTTCCTTTTCCTTTTATATGTATATATATTTTGTGTAGCTAAGCGGACTAATTTGTTAAAATTGATTATATTAACAATTTTTTGGACACAATCATTAATAATATGAAAATAAATAATTTATATGACAAAGAGAGGGAAGAGTCGAATCAAGAAACCAATCATTTTCAAGAAAGTGAAAGGATAGGGTTTTGTATAGTATCATTTGTGTATATGATATAGATCAAATATAATCTAATTGTCCAAATAATTTTAAGGTCATTCAAATTCAGACTTCTCAATTTTTGTCCAAGCCCACACCAAATTAAAAAATACGTTACCAAAGCGAATAAAAATTTCAAACTGGACTCGTATTAAGTCCCCCCAATAACTACAAACATATTCCAGAGTTAAATGGTAGAATTCCCTCTAACAGTCCTCCAATACCTCTCTACCCTCCCATATTAAGACACAAAATCATATGCTTCTACACAATTACGACTGCACTAACTTGTTCAAACCTATGAAATTTAATTACTCTATGCAGACCTCTGTGATGATCCCATAAAATTTAAAAAGAACAACATACATATGTTGAGGCAAGAAAACTAGTATCTTACATCTACTAATTTATAAATGTCATTAATAGAATCCCCATCTGAAAGACACAAATCACCAGACTGGTGAAATCGTGACAGCTGCATGACAAGAAGATGTGATTGTGACAACTAGAAGCAGATGGTAAAACATATCCCATCTCAATGTATAAGTAACAACAATGAGACGCAGAATTTATACAAGCACACTACATCCACTACTCCAGAACATGGGACCATGGGTGTTGCCCAAACAAGATCACACAATTGGAAGGTAACACAAGAGGCTTCAACATGTATGAATTGCTAGGTTTGCATTCAGCATGTATGCAGCAAGCCTACTGTGTTTGATGGATAGCATGTCATAGAAACAACGGCTTTGTGGTATCCCTGACTCAACTACTATTCTCATGGACATAGATACAACTGAAGACAAAGATGTCGTGGCAAATACTCATCTGTAATAATGGAGTAATGATACAACAAAATAAAAATAAAAAACCTAAAAACCAAGTTGCCAAACACCGCCATATTCTTGTATTGCAATGGGGGTGTTTGGGAACTATGGGTAGAGGCTATTTTAGCCTCAAAGTGAAAAATAGCCTTTTTAGCCTAAAAAAAAAAAACCAACCTACCCCATTGATTAAAAACAAAAAAACAAAATAGCAGCCAACAGACCTACACTATCATACCCTAGTCCCAAATGAGTAAATGACAATTTTACTTCTTTAGATTAATTTTAAAAAAAGTGAAACTAGAAGTAAATTTGTCATTTTACTTTAACATCATTTTAAATACATTTTTCAATACAACAACTCAAATAAAAATCCAATTCAACTCCCAAACAAAAAACTAAAATAACCTACTAAATAGTTAAAAAGCTAAAAAATCTCTAAATTAGCTACTTTCCAAATACCCACAATATCAAGCCCAAGCTATGTTTGGTTTTGACTTTTTGACTAAAAAAGCACAAAAGACAAATTGACTACATAAACCAATAAGACAAAATATTATATCAAAATCATAATCATTACACTTTCTATTTTATAAAAGTCAAAAAAATCAAAAACAAAAATCAAACGAGGCTAAAATAACAAAAGTTCAGGCTATTGACACAGGCAAACTAAAAAGAATTTTGAGAAACTGAAGGTTTGATAATTGAAAAGCAGACATAGAGCGAGAATATAATCTAAAAAGAACACTACTACTTCAAATTGAGGTCATAAGCTTCCCTCAAAAAGTAGGCCGACTGCCAAGGATGCAATCACCAAGAACGAAATATAAAAATCTTAATTTCAGAGATAAAATAAAGATTACAATATAATACATTTCAGGTGACTATCAAAACCCAACAACGCAAAGAAATAATCCATTTTGTTGCAAGCTACCATGCTGCGAGAAATGAGATCTAAAAAATGTATGAATCAATCTACCGAAAGATTATACACAACATCCTCATCCATCCAATATGCATCATGTGCGTAAACCCAATAAGCATGTCTAGTGAATGAGTATATAATGGATGGAACATACATAATGCATAAAGTACTCTATATTATTACTCTGTATTGTAAACACCATTTTTATCAACTAAAAAAAAAAAATTAAGAAAGATGAATACTCGGCAGCCAATATCCTTAAACATAAGAATTAGAATTACTTCAACCAAACAGCAGACTTGTAGCGACACCGATTGGAAAATAAAAAAAAGTTCAAAAACAAAATAACAAATTGAAGATCAAAACTCAACCTTGATTCATGTTCACACAGATCCATGAGCCTGATAGCAATTATGCAACATAAAAAGTAGTAAATAAAGAGCTTCATATACAATGTAAAATTCATCCTACAATTAAAAATTAAACCAATCCAATAACCTTCACTATAACAGGGATGACAATCCATTCCATTCCATTCCATTATATATTTCTAATTAAAAGAGTTTTCAAAACCCCTAAAATGACAACTCATAATGCAAAATTTATTAAATTTGGAGAACATAACAGTCCAAGAGCAACCTACCAACCAACCTACAAATCAAATCATTCAGACCGCTTCGCGTACCTCTCGACCTTCTCATCATTGAGATTGATCCCCACCATAGCCTCTCCCAATCCACAGCTCACCTCCGCAAGCACAATAGGATCACTGTAGTGAGTCACGGCCTGAACAATCGCACGAGCGCGCCTCGCCGGATCACCGCTCTTGAAAACCCCAGACCCAACGAAAACACCATCGCAGCCCAGCTGCATCATCAGCGCGGCGTCGGCGGGGGTGGCTACACCGCCGGCGGCGAAGTGGACCACCGGAAGCCTCCCGAGTTGCTTCGTCTGCATCACCAAATCATACGGAGCAGCGATTTTCTTAGCGAAGGTGAAGACCTCATCGTCGTCCATGTTGCGAAGCACACGAATATCGCCCATGACGGATCGAACGTGACGCACCGCCTCGATGATGTTGCCGGTGCCGGCCTCCCCCTTGGTGCGGATCATGGCTGCGCCTTCGCGGATACGGCGGAGGGCTTCGCCAAGGTTGCGGCAGCCGCAGACGAAGGGGATGCGGAAGTTGTGTTTGTTGATGTGGTTGTCGTCGTCAGCGACAGTGAGGACTTCGCTCTCGTCGACGTAGTCGATGCCAATAGACTCGAGGATCTGAGCCTCGACGAAGTGGCCGATTCGGGCCTTGGCCATGACCGGGATGGTGACGGCTTGCTTGATCTCCTTGATGAGTTGGGGGTCGCTCATGCGGGCGACGCCGCCTTGGGAACGGATGTCGGCCGGGACGCGTTCCAGGGCCATGACGGCGCAGGCGCCGGCCTCCTCCGCGATGCGAGCTTGGTCAGCGTTGACGACGTCCATGATGACTCCGCCGCGGAGCATCTGGGCGAGGCCTACCTTCACTGAGAAAGGGGATTTCTTCGTGGTTTCGGTGATTGCTGCATTGCCGTAGACTGTTACAACACCGCTTCCTGCCATTTCAGAGAGAGAGAGAGAGAGAAAGGGATTCAATGTCTGAGAGGTTGAAACGCAGAGGTGGTAACCCTAAACCGAGAGAGAGAGAGAGAGAGAGAGAGAGAGAGAGAGGGCGGATATGATTAGGAGAGAGAGGGGGATAATGAATGGAGGATTGGGGGGGATGAGGAGGAGGGAGAGCTGGAGGAAGATAAATAGTTGGCAAGTGGAACTGCGGTGAACGCCAAAATTGCCAATTTGTGACGGTGATTTCATTTGCAAAGGCTCATTAAATTAAATAAATTAAAATTAGTAAAATATTTTTTTTAATTATTAATATTTTTTTATTAGTTAAATTTTTTCAATAATATTGTTAGAAAAATTTTAACTTATTATGGAGAAAATTTACAAATTTTTTTTTGTGACAAATTGAAATTTCTTTCTAAAATTTTTAAGGCATAGCTTGGAAGTTGGTTTTGGTGGGTTAGGGGCTAAAATAGTCACAAAAAAAGGCTATTTTAGTCACAAAAAATAAAACATCAAATCTAACCCATAATCATTACACTTCTCTCTCACAAAAAAAGTCAAAAAGCCAAAAAGCCCTTCCCAAACCAGGCTTTTTAACCCTAGGCTAAAATAGTCAAAAAGCCAAAAAGCCAACACACTTCCCAAACGGAGGCTAAATTTTTTCTGTGAAACTAAATTTTTTTTTTTTTGAAATTTTTCTTTAAAGAGCTAAAATTTCTCCATAAAGACAAATTTTTATGTATTGAAATTTCTGTGTGCCAAAATTTTTTTATGAAAATATTGAGGTATCCAACTATTATAAAAATATTATATATCCTTTAGGGTGTGTTTGTTTTGAAGGATTAGGGGGTGTGATTGGACTATTAGTCCCACCGGGCTAATAGTCCATTGTTTGTTTCATTTTTTTTGCTTCGGACTAATAGTTCCTCCTAGACTATTAGTCCCACAATTGTGAGACTATCTTATCCCATGGGAGGGGGTGGGATTGAAACCATGGGATTGGTATCCCATGGGATTATTTTGTAAAATGTCCATTTTGCCGTCCATGTTATTACTTAGCAAACAATTAGAAAATGATAAAATAGTCTTTTGAATATTTATAAATTATTTTTTTAGTATTGTTAATTTAAAATTACCCATTAGGGGTGGGATTGGTATTCCATAGGATTAGACTCTGAAATGTCTATTTTACCCCTATGCTATTATTTAGCAAACAATTAGAAAATGATAAAATAGCCTTTTAAACATTTATAAATTATTTTTTTAGTGTTGTTAATTTAAAATTATATATTAAATAAAAAATTATAAATTATAAATTTAATTTAATTGAAAATAATAAATTAAAATAATTAAAATATTGTGCAAAAAATAAAATAAAACAAATTTTTATTTAATCTAGCTAAAAATAATTAAAATATTAAAGCTATGTTTAATATTGCCATTACTTAGTAAATAATTAAAAATGATAAAATAGTCATTTGAGCATTTATCATTCTCCATAATATCCCAAACAAACATTAGATAACTAAAAATAATCCAATCCAGACATCTAATCCCATGACTAAACAAACATAAGATACAAATTTAATCCAATCAAATAGTCCTAGGACAATGTATCCCAGAACTAATAGTCCGATAGATTACAATTCCCCCTTATCCAGTTCGTCGAAACAAACGCACCCTTATCTTATAAAATATTAATATTAAGAACCTTAAATTAAAAACTCCTTAAATAAATTAGTTGTGTTATTTTAATCTAAAATTAAATTTATTTTTCAAGTTTAATAATCAATCAAGCAATTATTTTTGTGTTATTTTTATCTTATATTTTCTCTAATTATTAACTAATAATCTTACAAATACATCATTAATTTAAAAAATAAATCTAAAAAATAAACTTATATTTTATTTTTAATAAGTATTAAATAAATAATAAATATATGTGATAGTGCGTACATTGCCCATAAATATATATTATAAATAACAACACTTCCTCCTCTGTTTCAAATTATTTATTTGTCTATTTTCGATACCCGTGCCCAAGTCAATAAATAATATATTTTTATTAATAAAAAATTAAATTATAAATTAGTAATAATTTTTGAGAAGTCTTTAATAGTCAAAATGATCAAATAATTTCAAACCAATCCGAAATTGATTGAAAGTAAAATATCAAATAAAATCAAATGAGAGTGGATTACTTTTATTGGCTATTTGAGATCTCAAAAATAAGTCACTTCTTTTTTCATTTTTGATTTTATTTTTAGTGGCTTCATTTTTAAAATTATGTCAATTTTTTTTTTCATTTTTCAATTCGTCTTATGTAGACGAATTTTAACCAAAAAATTGAATAAGCCAAGATAAGTTAAAAAAAAGTTCATTATTATTGGTTTATTTTTGTATTTTTTAGTCTTTTTCTTGAAAGTTTTTTTACAAACAAAAGTTAATTTTCATGTTTGTCTCGTTGAATATAATTTAGAAACTTAAATTTTTTTTTTTAATTTAGAAAAAAGAAATTTACTAAAGACAAAAATAAATCAACAAAAGATTATAAAAAAAAAATCTCAAATACCCACTGAGACCAATATTAGAGATATAAATAAATGATAAACGTACTATATTAATCTTATATTGATAAATAAATTAATAAATATAATACAAATCTATAGAATGGAAGAATGGTACAACGCTTTGGTGTAACCCTGTTGCTTTGTTTGGTTTGTGACCCCTCTTTGCTTGCAGATTTGGGCTGGACACTTGTGTTCCAAATTACCCACACACACAGTAGTAGAAGAAAACAAATGTCATCATTCTTGCTATAAATTTGTAGGGTAATGCTAGGGACACTAAATTTTCTACCAAACAAATGATCAAATGTCTCACATGGGTGTGGGGTCCGCAATTTTGTGGGCCCCACACCCATGTGAGAGATTTGGTCATTTATTTGGTAGAAAATTTAGAACCTGTTTTCTAAATTTGTAACTCCTTCCTTGCAAATTTTGAGTTGGACACGTGGGCTTCAACTCATCCACATATACAATGGTCCTACTTGGTAGAGTTGTGAAAAAATTATTATAACTTATAACTTAACAGTTTATAACTTATAGTTATAAACATAAATTAATTTTTGACTCATAAATTAAGCTTCTTCTTTCCCACTCAAATAATAAATTGATTTTTAATTTATAAAAAATTATAAACTATATTTTTAAATTAAATCAAACACATTAAAATAATTTAAATTAAGTTAAAAATTAAAATAAACTAAAAATAAGCCCTGCCAAACATGACTAATATAGGAAGAAAACAAAACAAATACCACCATTCCTCCTAGAAATTTCCCCCGCCGGTGCTCCTGACTATTTTCCAAAGCTTCTCCCTGCAAAATTTTCTTGAATATTTTGGGTTACCCACGTGGGATTCAAATCACCGTCTCCGACAATGAAGAAGAAAACAAATTTCACCGCTTTGAAGAGCAAATTTCACAGCTTCACATCATTGTCGGCATTGTTGCTGCCGTAAGGCTGTCGAAGTTGGTCATCCAAAGCTCTGCTCCCGCCGTTGCAAATCCTGGTAATTACATCTGTATTTTGATGCCTATTATTTATGTCTGTTGCACAATATTTACCCACACTGCTTTTATTCCTAGGTATATGTTAAATAGATGAACACCAAGTGTTTGTCAATATGTCTCAATGAACAAAAAGTTTACCAGCCTGATTTGGGTAATTGGATTTTGATAGTCTTTGATAAATTTTCATGGATTGCTTTGATCCTTTTTCTATATTATGTGTTTCTGAAATGATTATCCTACGGAATTTACTATTACATATTAAATAAAAGATAGAGATTTTTATCATTTTGTTTCCTCAGTGGACTGATAAATGAGTTCGTTTATGGATTCATATGCACTGAAGTCTGTTTCAAATTTATCTGCTTCAGATTTACCTGCTTCTTTCCATTTAATTTTTGGTTTCAGGTAATTTTAAGTTCATATTGGAATTTGATGGTTGACCATTTTCTATAGAAAAGTTATTCTTGAAAAAAAACCATTTTCCTTATTTATATGAGAGATTGAGATTTCAGATGTGTTATTGGTTTGGACCAAAATATTCAACGAAGCAAAATGAGTTCATAAAACATTTGAAGAAATTACAACTTTTTTCTCTAACTGCTTGCATGTGATCTAGGAAGCACGGATATGGATATGGGATATGGGTACGATACGATACGGATACGGTGATACGACAAAATTCAAAAAAATAAGATACGGATACGGCGGGAATACGTTCATAAAAAATATTTTTTTCACAATTTTTAGTAATGTAGCATACACAAAAATAAAACTTCAACAGTTTTTTAGTAATGTAACATACATAAAATAAAACTTCAACAATTTTATGGTAAACAAATCAAACAAAACAAATTGTATGTAACTCATTTCCTAAAACAAATTGTATGTAACTCATTTCCTAAAACAAATTGTATGTAACTCATTTCCTAAAACAAATTGTATGTAACTCATTTCCTAAAACAAATTGTATGTAACTCATTTCCTAAAACAAATTGTATGTAACTCATTTCCTAAAACAAATTGTATGTAACTCATTTCCTAAAACAAAACAAAACAATTTTTAGTAATGTAACTCATTTCCTAAAATTTATGGTAAACAAATAAAACAAAACATTAATGTAGCATCACCCATAACAACCATAATGCATCACCCATAACAAAAAATTCATCAATTTAATTAAATTTCAACAATTTCAACAATATAGCATCACCCATAACAACTATAATGCAATTCAATCCCAAATTAAGGGGGAAAAAATTTACAAAATTCATTTTTTTATCAATACGTTTATTTATTTATAAATTTCTTTTACCTTATTTGATTTATTAATAAGTTTATAGAGTTTATAATTTTATAAGTTGACAAAGTTGATTTTTAATAAGTTTATTTATTTATTTATTAATAAGTTTTTTTACCTTATTTTATTTATTTATTAATAAGTTTA